ATTAAAATAAATTAAAATCAGCCACACTGCAGGTTTATATGAATTTAAAGCCTGACCCAAGCATATCTAAGCATAGAAAAAGTGGGATACAAAAGGCCCAGGATGTCCCAGGAGCAAGAGGGCTTTGGGAAGGCCGGCCCGGGGAGCTGCGACACGTCAGAGCCGGGGCAGATGGACGGGTCATTTTTAGAACTGAATCACGCTGCAAATGATTTGCCTAATTTTAAAACAGAGGTGAGTGAGGAGCTAAAGAGCCTCCAGGCCAGATATGGTTGGAGCCCTGGGTTGAGCTGGCCCACAGACACCGCCGTGCTTTATTGCTTCCTAACCCCGGGCACGCTCCGAGGGGAGGCACGTGGGCTTTGAAAGGCTCCGACCAGTCACATATTTGGGAGCGTGGAATCCTTCGGCTCCAACGTCAGCCCCCGAGTTGGGAGCCTTCTGAGAAATCTGGGGGGTTGGGTTGGGGTTTGTGGTGTTTTTTTTTGTTTTAAACACAGGGATTTTTGAGTTATTGTCCACTAAATATAGCGCATTCTTGTGCCCTGAGGAGATGGGATCGCGTTTAAATTATCTTAGTTTGGAAAAGTCAATTGGGTTGGGGCAGAAGGATTTGGATACCTGCTCTGATAGATATTTAGCCCTTATTTAAGGCAAAACTGCCACTGAAAACCATGGATGTTTTGCCTGGAAAACACAGCCCCAAATATAGATCTGAGTGTCTCCCAGACTTTCCAAGTGCCAAGCGTGAACCTGGAAAGAACCAGGGAGAAGGATTCCCTGAGACAGAGAAAATCACTGTCCAAAGCTCCACTTTGATGCTCCTGCAGTTATTGCATTTATTGAATATACTGGTATTTAGTAAAGTGGAGCAGAAACAAACCCCAAAATCCAGGAATCCCTTCCTGGTAAAAGGAGGAGCAGTTTGGAACAGCACCTTTAAAAAGCTTTCCCAACACAGGATCAACGTGGAGGCTCCCAAAGTTTACAAAGGGGGCTTTGCCTTAAAAAACACCTTCCAGAAAGAGGGGGAAAAGCCAGCAAATTGCTAATCTTCCACATTCCAGGCTCGAGAACAACAAGACAACACCGTGGCATCACCAGGCTGTCCCAACACATCTCCCCTGAAACCTGATCCAAGCTGCTTCCCCAGAAAGATTCCGAGGGAACAACGGATCCCCCCCTCCTGCCCCCGAGCCCCTAAAAGACAAAAGCAAGTTCTGTTCTAAAAAAAAAAAAAAAACCAGCTCGCTACAGATTCCTGACTACTTTGTTTCTTTAATCAATGATCTCATTTGTTCACTTTTTCGCAGTGTTTTCCTCCAAAAATAGCAGATACTAAAAAAAATAAAATAAAATAAAAAACAATTTCTTCCTCTTATCAGGTGGTTGGATGAGAGAGGATCCAGCAGATTTTATATTTATTTTTTTTTGTGCTTTTCTTCTACATAGAGATGAAATAAATAAAATTTCCCTCCTTAAATTGACAGCATGCTTATATATATATATTAAAAAAAAAAACCACTAAAGAGATGCATAAAGCTTCACTGCCTCAGTCTTAAAAGTCCAAAATTGAATTAAATTAAATAGATTAGGGGGGCAAACACAGTCAAAATATGAGGCCAGTGCCAGCTGCTTATTGTTTTCAATGCTACAGCTTCAGATCTACCCCAAAACATGACATTTGTACTCATTCTAGGGGGGCCAATCACATATAGAATATGTATGCATATATATATAGTGTATATATATATATATATAGCATATATATTGCATCTATATATATATAGCATATATATAGATGAGAATACATATATATATATACACATATATAGCATATATGTAGATGAGAATACATATATATATACACATATATATCATATATATACATGAGAATACATATATATACACATATATATCATATATATACATGAGAACATATATATACACATATATATACATGAGAATACATATATATATACATATATATTATATATATAAGAA